TACATACTTGAGACTGTTGATTCTAGTATTGTCATGTATTTCCCATTCTCCTTAGGGTAGAATCCAAAATTACTCAGTAAATTTACTATATGTAGTAGTAAATTCCTACATCAGCTAACTCTACCCAGCAGATCTGACAGCCTTTACTCTTGTTCTTGTTCAGGGGATATTTTTGACTGATGTATTTATATATAAGCTTAATTATTATAATCTCAGTAATGAATGTTTTGAGAGTATGTGGAAAAATTACAATGTATGTTTATAGGAAGTTTTAAAATATATTGGAAAAGCTTGTATATAAGTGTTCAAAGCAGCCTTCCTCAAAATAACCCTACAAGATTATCAGACACATGGATAAACAAATATAGTATATCCGGTCAGTGAGATATTATTCAACCCTTAAAAGACATGAACTCTGATGCATCTACACTGTAGAAGAACCTTGAAAATATTGTTAAGTAACAGAAGCCAGTCATGAGGACCACGTAATACTGTGCAATTCCATCATAGCAACAGAAAACCAGGGCAGATGAGATGGCTCAGTGAGAAAAGGTGTTTGCCGCCAAGCCTGGAGAGCAGAGTTCTGAGTTTCCTCCCTAGGACCCATCCAGTAGGAGAGAGCTGACCTGTAAGTTGTCCTCTGATCTCTGTGTGCATACCATAACACTCATGATCAGATACATATGCACAAGAGACAAATAAGTAAAGATGAAAGAATTTAAATCCAAGAAAATACATTTTTATACAGCTTTAACTAAAATAGAATCGTATCACTGCCCCCTCTTCCCTTTCCTCCCTCCAGAAGAATCAATTTCTAAAATATAGACATAGCTATAGACAAAAAAATAGAAATCTTATTTTGAAATACTATTTCTATCATTTATTAAAAAATAAAGATCAGCCGGGCGGTGGTGGCGCACACCTTTAATCCCAGCACTTGGGAGGCAGAGGCAGGCGGATTTCTGAGTTTGAGGCCAGCCTGGTCTACAGAGTGAGTTCCAGGACAGCCAGGGCTACACAGAGAAACCCTGTCTAAAAAAAAAAAAAAAAAAAAAAAAACAAAGTCCAGACTGAAGAAAGCGGGAATGACTAAGGCTTACGTTCATCCGTTGTTGGAATGTTTGGTATGAAGTGGATGGAAAACCAGCTATTTTGCTCATTGGCAAATCGGAGCACATCTGGATTTCATATTGCTGACTGTTATCGTGGATTTTTTTTTTTTATACCAGTTTAGATGAACAAGATAAAGCCTTTGCTCTGGGGCTGTGCTCTTGCCTTCACTGAAACTGCAAGGGCTGTTTGCTAGCAGTTTTTATTGTTACTAAAGAGTGTGGCTAGAAGCAATTCATCAATAATTGTGCTAAACCTTCAATCGATTTGGATTTTGATTGTTGGTAATGGTGGAAGGTCACAAAAAGCAGAAGTGTTGCTTACTCAAAACAAATGTAAAAGTAAAACAGATAAGATATTCCATTGAGAAATATTGTAAGATGTTTGAATTGCAGTTACACTCCAGAACTATGAGTTGAGTTGTCTATGCCAAAACAACACAGCCATCAGCAAAGAGCATTGATGTTCCCCACTGTGTTCAGTGTCCAGTGGGAGAGTCTACAGTGCAAACCCAGATTAGTACCTTCATGTCCTAACACGTCAGACAACATAACAAGGTGTTGGTGAGATCCTTAAAATGAGAGCCCAGACCCAAGGCATCATTCGTTCATTCTTCACTTGTTCTTCCTCGCTGTAGAAGCAACAATAATCTAATTATACATGGTGTTCTTAAAAAGGAGTGTTTTAGGGCTGATACTAGAAGCTCTGTGTTGTCTCTCAGTGTGGTAAAATTCAGTTGCCTCTTTGTTCTTAGGGATAAATTGAGTTGACCTTGAAGACCTGTCTGTGTTTGATGTTAGGTCAAAACATAATGTATGTTAGTTGGTTAACTAGAATTTATCTGCCTGTACAGAACTTGAGTTGATACTTCCTTCCAGTACAGTTTACATACATGCTTTATTCTAAGGGGCTACAAAGAATTTAACATAATGAAAAACCCATTAGCATGGGTTGGGCCTGAGGAGATGGATCAGCTGTTAAAATGCTGTCTACAAAAGCAGTGAGCTTGAGGCTCAGAGTTCAGATCCTTACAACCATGTAAACACTGGGTGTAGATGGCAGCCCACCTGTAGTCCTGTACTGGAAAGGGTGAGACAAGGCATCTCTAGAACGAGCTGGCTAGCTAGACTAGCTGTGTGGATGAGCTCGGGTTCAACTGAAAGACCTTGCCTCAATGAACAAGGTGAAGAACAATCCAGGAAGACGCCCTCAGGAGACACACACACACATACACACGCATACATGTACGCATGCACAAGCACACACATGTAAGTCTTCCCACATATATATGGGCATATATACAGAGATATGCACAAAACTCATGCAAGTATATCATATACACATAAAAAAGGAAGACAAAAGCTTAAGCTTCAGAATCTGGCAAAACTAGGATTAAATGCCTATAGATTCCATAACTATAAAACCCTTACTGTGAAGTGTTATGATAACACTTGGAATTGAGAGGTTGAGGGATGGCCCCAGGGTGTTGAAGAGATGCTGCTAGCTGTGATAGTCTTGATGATACCTTGGGCAGTGATTTGCAGAAAATGAATGTGGGTTCTTGCTAGCAGCTCTCTAGCTGACCTGCTGTGGTAGGATAAGGATAAGTAGATGTTACTATGCCTTATTTGAATAAGATGCTGTGAGCGTTTATTGATTACCTTAATAACTATCTTGGTACCAGATTAGGTTTGGTTGAATAGAAGGCATGACCTCTGGGCATTTGTTGTATATCAGCTGCCGGTTTTTGTGTATTATTAGTTAGGATCAAATTTGGCATTCCCCCTGGGATGGCTTCATGAGTTGTTGTTGCAAGGGAAGGTTGGTCTACTGTTGAGTGTTCATTCTGAGGATGAGGTCATGATCTTCAGGGTTTGCATACTGATCAAGTCCTTTCCTCTCACTCTCTCCTTAGTCCTAGCACACAGCCCACAGCCCACAGCCCACAGCACACCGCACACCGCACACCGCACACCGCACACCACACACAAACCACAGCACATAGCACACAGCACACAGCACACAGCCCACAGCCCACAGCACACAGCCCACAGCCCACCGCACACCGCACACAGCACACAGCACACAGCCCACAGCACACCGCACACCGCACACAGCCCACAGCACACCGCACACAGCCCACAGCCCACCGCACACCACACACAGCACACAGCACACAGCACACAGCCCACAGCACACAGCACACCGCACACAGCACACAGCACACCGCACACAGCACACAGCACACAGCACACAGCAACGGCTGTAAACAAAGCTGCTCTTTGCTAAGCTGCTTCCATCTGCACTGCCATCAGCCATGTAGGAGGTACTCGGGACAGGAGGTACTCAGGACAGGAGGTACTCAGGACAGGAGGTACTCAGTAAGCACGCTCATTTCATTGACTGACAAGACCTTACAAACTCACTGCTCTGGAGTACTTAGGGGCTGAGTTTTTTTTTTTTTTCTGCAAACACTCCTTTACTCCGCCCTTTATCTGAAGCAACTGTGTACCAGAATCCCTTGGAGGCATTACTAATAAAGAGTAAACACGCTTAACAAGAGGGAGGCACTGCCCCGTGTAAGGGATGGAACTAGCTAGGGGGAAAGGCCAACCTGCTGTAATGAAAACATTCAAAACTATTTCTGCCAAAGTAAAACAGAAGTTTTGTGACAGCCCAGCCAGTTGGGCCTGGGTTAGTTCGTTCAAAGGACAGCTTCCCACCCCGGTGCTGGGCCAGCCAGGCTGATACGCCTCACCCATTGGGTCTCTTGCTTTCCCTACTTCCAGTTCACAGGTCACAGTGGAGGCAAAGTCTGGAGAAAGTGATTTGTTCATGAATTGAGATGATCCACACATCTCGACCCATCCACATCCCCAGTATCTTGACTGTAGACATTGCCATGCCTAGCCACAAAGGAGGCTGGAGCCATAGCCTCTTGCCAAGCCAGCCGAACTGCAGTCAGGAGAATAACAGTGATTCAGAATGAAGTGTGTAACATGTTGGGCGACGGTAGTATCATGGAGGAAAAGAAAGCAGGGGATGGGGGATGACACCCTAGGAATTGCTACAGCATCTTTTGTTTGAGGAGCAGCATCACCCAGCAAGGGACAGCTGAGGAAGAGCAGACAGACACAATGACAGGTGGGAAGACTTGGGAAATATAGCAGTCACTTTGCCCATCCCTATGACCCAGTGCCTGGAAAAAAAAGCAGCTTAAGGAGGAAGTGCTTATTTGGGTTTGTGACAGGGATGCAGTCCACCAAGGTGCAGAAGGCCTGGCAGTGGGAACAGCTCCCCACAGCATGAGGCTACTCGTTCACATATTAGTAAGTCAGAAAGAGAAAGGGATGCTGCTGCTTAACTGGATGTCTCCTTTTTAAGGACCAGAACCTGGGATAGTATTGCCCACAATCAGGATGGATCTTCCTCAGTCCTTTCTGCAAACACTCTTAAAGGCAACCCCACAACTGTGCCTCATGAATGTCCTATGTGTTTCTTAATTCAGTTGACAGTCCAAATCAGCCATCTGATGAGAGAAATGGATTTTCTTTTAGGAGAGATGGGCATGACTGCCAAGCCTGTCTGACTCTGTTAGGCTCCAGTGTACCTCCTCCCCATGGAGACAGCTAGTGACCGTGGGCCATGTGAACCTGATGTGTCTAGATTGCAACCCACAGGCTGGGCACAGCCAAGAATAGCTATGAATGTGGTCCAACAACAACAACAACAAATCATAAACTTGCTTAGTAACTGGATTACATCGTTGGGGGGATATGACCATGTGGGGTGACAATGAGGTGTCACAATGTAACAAGGTTGGATGCGCCTGGAAGCATTTGAAGTCCAGGCTTGCAAAGGGTGTACTGATCTGTTGCTGTCACTCTCAGGTACCAGCAAGGTGAACCTGGTGAAGATCTCATCCACCGTCTCCAGCCCTCGGGACACTGCCCTGGCTGCTGTCATCTGCAGTGCTCTGGCCACAGTGCTGCTAGCCCTGCTCATCCTGTGTGTCATCTACTGCAAGAGGCAGTTCATGGAGAAGAAACCCAGCTGTAAGCGCTCTTCCTTCTGTCTTATTGTGAAATGAGCATGTTAGCATTGTCACACAAGAGTTCACAAGAGACCTGGCTAAGACCTAAGACCTAAGACCAGCTATTTAAAATACAAGACACAGGAAAACAAGCCTCTTGAGGAATTTCAGAGCCTTGCAGGGATGCTGGCGAGGCTGTGATGTCCCAAGGCTACAAGGCAAAAATAAAAATTGTCGATACCCTATACTCTTAACAAATTATTTTAAACTATGTGTGCCTCTGCAGAAGAAGAAACAGGCATTTCTCAGCTTGACATTATTAGGCTCGGTTTTTCGATTTCATGACGGTTTGAAATATTATCTCTTAAGCCACTCTGCTTCTGACTTTCAGCCCATATGCAGGAAATTATGTAGACACTGGTGTGAAACAGGCTGGGCTGAGGTTAAGTGGTAGAGCACTTGTCTATCATGTGCAAGGCCCTGGGGTTTAATTCTCAGCACACACAAAAATGTCAGGGTTGGAAACTAGAGAGATGGCTCAGTGGTTAAGAGCACTGGCTGCTCTTTAAGAGGAAGCTTCAATTCCCAGCATCCACACAACAGTTTATAAGGGTCTCTAGGTCCACTCCCAGGGAGTGGACTCATGCCCTCTCTGACCTTCATGAGCACCAGATATGCATGTGGTGCACAGATATACATGCAGGCAAAATATCCTTACACATAGAATAATAAAAAAATGTTTAAGTGTGTGTGTGTGTGTGTGAGGGGGTGTAATGACAAAGGCTTTGTATTGCTTGTGTTTGCCCACTGGAGGCTCACAGAAGTATTATGGTTCAGATTAAGTTATTCTAGACCAAGCACTAATGTTTGGAAGGTTGGCGTACAGATTGTCTTCAGAGTGTCTTGGGGTACACGGAAGGAATACATGGGATAATGGTGTTGACTCTTTAAAAATACAAATGTAGGGGTGGTGCCTGGCTTCCTATGGATAAATGTTGACTGTGGATCTCTCCTCTCCACTAGGGTCTCTCCGGTCACAGGACATTCAGTACAATGGCTCTGAGCTGTCATGTTTTGACCAGCCTCGGCTCTGCCACTGTGCCCATAGAGCGTGTTGTCAGTATCACCGGGATTCAGCCCCGACATTTGGTGAGTTGGGACATGAAGGGCCCAGAAGAACCAGGAGTACAGTATGGGACAGTAGAGCCAGGGATTGCCAAGTCGAGCTTTTATTCTTCAGAATGGGTGGCAGCGGGTCACAGGCTGATTTTCCAGTCATAGCTGACCCGCCTCCATGACTTCTCTCTGCTGCCTTTGGTTTGGGTGTTTCAGGTCTCTTCATTTGGAGTCAGTGTCACTTGCAGTCACTTGTTCCTGCTGTGTAGAGGTGGGCTGCCTTCTGAGTGCATGAGTCAGGGTTACTGTTTCTGTACTGGAACTCCATGACCAAAAGCAGCCTGGGAGGAAAGGGTTTATTTGGCTTACATATTCACATCGGAGTCCATCAAGGGAAGCCAAGGTAGAAACTCAAATAGTACAAGAACCTGGAGGCAGGAGCTGATGCAGAGGCCATGGAGGGGTGCTGCTTACTGGCTTGTTCTTCATGGCCTGTTCAGCATGCTTTCTTATAGAACCCAGAACCACAAGCCCAGGATGGAACCACCCACTGTAGTCTAGGCTGTCTACCACCAACCATTCAGTAAGAAAATGTGCTTTAGGCTTACAGACCCAGCTTATGGAGGCATCTTTTCAATTGATGCCCTCTCCTCTCAGAGGACTCTACCTTGTGTCAAGTTGGCATAAAACTAACCAGTACACCTTAGTTACCTGGTCAAGTCAATCCACACACTAGTGTGTCTGGACAGAAGGAAAAGAGAGGTCCACATCAGGGTCCAGCCTTGCCTGCCTCTTGGCCTGTTGCTGGAAATAGCCATTAAGGAAAGTTGACACAGGTGGAAATGTACCTCTGACCCAGGCAGGCAAAGGTGACATGACTCCACCCCTAGCTCTTTGTCATTGACCAGAGGTTTCTACTTCATGTCCTACTGTAGTCCTCAGTAGATGACCTCCTGCACACAAACTCCAGGTGGCTTCTGGTATACTTCTGGTGGCAGTCTGGCCCAGTATCCCTGAGTTTCTGGATCATCTAGATATAGTGCCTATGACACTACCAAGTCATCTCTTGGGCACTATTGTCTACTTTGTTACTCATATTCCAGGGTGGTTGGACTGGCCTCTTGGAATCACCCAGTGTCTCTTAGTTGTAGAATGGACCAACTTGGTCTGATACGTCATACACGGGATAAGAATGTTTCACCCTTGTCCCCTCCTTCCTGACTGGTCACATTGTATAGCCCAGGCTGGGTTAAGTTGTCTGTCCTCTTGCTTTAGTGTGAACACCAGTGTACAGTTTGTATTTGACCTTTGAGTTCCTCCTTCTGCTAAACAGTCACCCAGAGGGAACCAGCTACCTTTCCAAGGAGAGCAAGGCTTAGCTGGAATGAACAAGAAAGTTCAGGAAAAACGAAAGCCCCTGCCTCACGCTTGTCTGCCTTTCTCAGGGCCTGTTCACCTGATTCCGTCCTTGTGCTGTGAGGAGACCCACAGCTCTGGCCGAGCTGCGCTTGGCTGTGGGCTGCATTCTACTGCTACCCTTCAGGAGAGGTAACTGCCCTTCTAGTCAACAGTGTCTACTCCTGTTTGCAAACATGTATCCTCCTGATTTACCAGCTTTGTGTTAAACTGTAGGGCTCTGCCTCTGAAGCATTACCAATGACTTCTTTGAACCTGAGAGGAGAGAGTCTCCTGCAGGGATTGCAAGGAGCCAGAGGTCACTGATAACCACCTTCTGGCACTTTCACCCCATTCCCTTCATTTTTTTGTCTTACATTTTTCTATTTTTATAAGATTTTAAAGTATATATGTGTGTTTTTGTGTGTAAGCATTCGTACACAAGTACAGGTGCCCTCAGAGGCTGACAGGGTCAGATCCCCGTGGAGCCGGTGTCACAAGAGGCTGTGAGTCTCCCGATGTAGGTGCAGGGAACTGAGCTCCGGTCGCAGGAGCAGTGTGTGTATGGCTTAACTGCTCGGCTCTCTCCCCGGCTTCTAGTCCTGACATTTGTTATTTCATAGTCACAGCTCACTCTTCACAGTCTGCTCGCATACTGTTCCAGAGCAACAACCACGAAAACTCAGTTAAGACTAAGAAGATGCAGCCGTTAGACAATGGATATGCTTATATTAATTAGAAATAGGTATAGAGATCAATTTTAAGGTCGATGGAGTAGCTTCAGTAGCCTTACTGAGGCAAATTTAAAACAATAGTTAGCACTGGAATTCCTAGTATATCGGTATTACAGCTACAGACTTAAAATAATAGCCGAAATGCTCTTCTGTAGTAATGATTTTCGTCACTGTACGGTACTGACAAGCTTTTTGGATGTGTGTTTAGAAACACAGCTTCTGTGGGGGACACGATGCCAGCCTTCTTTGGGTCTGTTTCCCGTTCCATCTGTGCTGAGTTCTCTGATGCCTGGCCTCTGATGCAGAATCCTCTGGGTGGTGACAGCTCTCTCTGTGACTCTTATCCTGAACTCACTGGAGAAGATATCAATTCCCCCAATCCCGAAGATGAAAGCTCAACATCTCTGGATTCCAGTGGTGGCCAGGATCTGGCTGGG